CTGCCGCTGCCTGTGCTTCGGTGGTTGTGGCTCAGGCTTCAAAACCAGAGTGGGAGCAGAGGGGGAAAATGTCTGACTTTTACAGGAATTAGAAATAGAATTTCTCTCTAAAAAGCAGTTTGCTTGTGAGTTTTATGCTGTTGCAAATTTGTTACTTTGGGAATTCCTCTAAACATCTTCATTGTCCTGACTGGAGAACAGTAACCAGATCTGTGCAGGGATTGCCCTGGAGCGTTTCCCAAGGCCTGAAGTTTTGTTCCTAGTGAGGTGCTGAACATGGGTGAAACTTTAAATACTGTGCTGAGGAGAGAGTAACAAGTTTGTGAAGTGAAATGTGAGCAAGGGGAGGGAGGAGTTAACCTACATGCACTGAGTCCCTCCAACCAAAGCAAAGCAGGCAACTATTAATCATCCGAAACCTTATATGCACATCTAATGGGATTTGCAGATGGAGACTTTTAAAGAAACATTGTCTGTGTTTTTTTGAAAAGGGAAAGGGCAGCACACACAAAAAAGGCTTTAATGTTTCCGTGTAACACTGTGAAGCTGTTTTTATTGCACTGTTAACAAAATTCCCCAAGTCTTGGATTTGGAAAAAGCCCTAAACCAGATATAGAATTCAGCAGATAACAAATTCCAAGGACTAAAGTGGGAAATAAAAGCAAGAGAGGAGTTAACAGATTATATTTGATTCTAAGGCCCAATTGTAAGTTTTTAAAAAAAAATACGAGAACTGGTTGACACACATGCATGAGGTTTTGGGTGTCTGTTTTTGTTAGTTTTTGCAGTGAAGCTGAATTTGCTGATAGTTGGAGTTTGCTGCCAATGGCATCTATCCTTTCTGTATCCTACTTTCCGGGGAATTCTCAATATGCCACCACTCCTTCCTGTGAAGAGATTGCCTGCTTTCATGCCAGTAGGAGACATGGTTTTCATCTCTTGTTGAGAGTTGTATAGCTTTTCTTAACAGAAAGCGGGTTCTTAAACCTTGGAGCCATCACAGTTGGAAAGATACTGATATTAATAGGGAATCTGCCTGTGATTCCGTTTCTGCGGAGGGTGGCAGCTGGGGACGCCCGAATGCCCTGCTCAAGGGCTGTGCTAGCAGGACAACTGTTTCTTTCAAGGTGGTTGTCCCTGCTTTCATCGACAATTTATCGATGCGCAAATGCACGTCTTCCCTGTTTCTATAGTCTGCTTGCAGCCCTTTTCAGTGCTTATTCCTCTACACCTTGCTATATTGTGAAGTCACTTAACTGAAACTGTGAAAAGAATGATGTTTTTAAATAACACTTGTGAGAGAATTAACAGAATTCTGCTGTTCTGATTGGGCTGCTTGTCAAAGATAGCCATAAGCTTGTCTTGCTGTCCTGTTTGGGTGATTGCTTTTGTCCCACAGCTTTCAGGACTTGAGGATGTGGTGGGAGAACTAGCAGGGTCTGCAGCAGAGGGTTGGGAGACTCAGCTGGGGGCTGTTTCTGATGCCTCTAGGCAATCTGGAACAGACAACCAGGTGAATGCTGCAACTTGCCTGCCAGGTGTTTTTTCTTTCTGCAGAAGCATCATTTCCTAAGAGGTAATGTTTATTTCCTTCTGTCCAGGGAGCCCACACTGTATTTTGTTGAGAAAACAACATAGCAAGTGAAAGTTCAGTTTGGAAAACCAGCTTTTGCAGTGTGATTGCAGAGGAATGGCAGGGCTAATCAACTCTAGTACTGGAAAGCTGCTTCTTCCTTTTGAAAGTGTGTTAAAGTTTCTTTTCTTAGCTAGATGGTGCTTTCAGCACATGGAAGGCAGATTTCTTGCTCCCTCCTTCCCCCCCCCCCCCCCCCCGATGTGCAGAGCTGGAGGTTGTACCCCATAAAATAGTTTCACAAAACAGAACGATATCAGCTCGATTCAGAAAATGTCTTTGGAACAAGGAAACAAGGCCGCTTCCTCTGTTGTCCTTGCTAGTAAGCATCAAAGTCTTGATGAAATGACTCTGGAATTTTTATGGGAATTCCATCATCTTCTACATGAGTTTAAAAAGCAATAAAGAGTTGGTGAGATACATATTTACAGTTTCTGGGGAAATAGCGAGGCTGCACCTTGGATTGTGGGTGATGTAGACTAGGAACGAACCAAGCCTGAGAGCAGAGCGGAGGGAGCTTCCTTCCCTTCCCTTCCTGCTGCTTGTGCAGGGTTTCATGTTTCCTCATAGACACAAAGAGGTTTCCTACACTGACTTGGAGCCTCATTTCTCCCCAGGGGCTTACGTGGTGCTTTGGGTCTTTTGCTTGGCTCTGTATACTTCTGAATTATATCCTCTCAAGTAATCCCGGCAGGGGGAAGTGTACTTACCTTGATATCTGTTGAGTCTTAGAGCTTGGTCTTCTCCAGGAAACCAAATGGATTTAGTGCTGACCTTTCTGAACGGGAACATCAAAATTCTGTCTTATTTTAATGTGATTCATAGCTCTCTTGCAAAATACTAAACATCTGATATCCGATGCATTCTCTAGGAAGAGGTTTCCATGCTAATGGAAGCTACTGCTGCGTTGTAGTGGAGAATAAAAATGACAACGTGTTTCCAACTCCCTGACAGTAGAGTTGCCCTTTCAGATTCGGTTTCAGATTGCCCTTTGTCTGAAAGGCTAGGTTATGATGAATTTGTGAAAGCTGGCAACAGTTCTGAGCGCTTGCAGAACCAAGTCAGAACCCAGAAGCTTTTTGCAGCTGCAGAGTGTTTCCCCTTCCTTCTCTGCGTGTGTCATCGCATGTATAATGCCCACTCAAGTCTCACAGGTTATGGGGGTTGTGTGGAGTCAAGCCTAGATCTGCTGGTTCTCAGCTCTACTTTCAGTCTATACAAGGATCTAGCTAATTATGCTGCCATTAATACCAGCTATACACATGCATGAATATTTGGGGGAGTAGAAGGGTATGGAGGACTACCTGTTGACCTAGTAGGGTTCAGTCCAGCCAGGAGCAGGTTTAGGCTTGCATTCAGGAACCCACAGGAGGCCTGAGCAAGGGGGTCTCTGCATAGGGCATGACGCAACTTCTGCACATCACTTGGCACTCTGAGTTGAACAACTTGGACCCCGTTTTCCCAATGGAGCTGTCACTGTTGTTCCGCCAACTTCAGACGTGGGAAAGGGAGCTGGCGTGTTACTTCCCAGATGTGAGAACTGTGGATTCTGCATTGCTCCAGCACCCTCTGCAGCTGGGGCTGTCATTCAGCTGCTCAGCAGGGGCCTGTTTGCCCTCTACATCTTCCTGACACTTCATTCCTGAAAGGAGAAAAAACAACAATCTTCCCCTCTTGCTAAAACCCATTTGTTAGATGAGGCAGCCACCTTTAACCTTCCTAAAGTCAACATCTCTTCAGTCGAGCATTGCGCTTGGGCAGAAAGGATGGAGACGGCTTTTTATAATAAATGCTGATTTTTGGAGCCTGGAAAGTGGGGATTTGTCTCCAAACTTTCTGTGAATTTGGACCATGACATCCCCAAGAAAGCATTCCTCTGCCATCCCACAGGCTGAGAAGCCTCTCCGATCCGGTGCGCCCTCAGAGCTTGCCCAGCTATTTGCACAGCTTTGTGAGGTAAAACGAGAAGGAAGCTGTGCCAGGTCTTCATCTCCTTTTTCTAGTGAAGCAATTTTCTGTTTCTTAATAAGACCCGAACCATCTCATGCCACACAAATGTAGCCCTCTTCCAAATTACCTCCACTCTTGTGTTGTATCTTGGCCTACGGGAGCTCTCTGGAGCAGGAAGCCTGGTCCCACAGTGCGTTTGCAGCACCTGACCTAGTGCAATGGGGTCTGGAGCTTTTGCACTTGAAATTCAAAGCGATTTCTTAAAGCGATTTCTAAAAAGCGGTTTTGATTGCAAGACAAAGTTTTAGCTTAGCAACAGAGAAAGGCAGACGAGAGATTTATCTCATCAGAAGTCTTAAGAACAATTTATAAGCTTAGCATGGAGAAAACTCTAGACAGGGAAGGTTATTCTGAAATTTTATTAGCGACTAAATTGTGAGTTAATAGCTCTCTTCATTTTAAAAAAAACAAAAAAACCCAAAAAAACCCACATCCAAACATTAAAAAATAACCCTAAACAACTCCCCTGCCATGTTTGCAGTTGAAGGAAGTGGGAAAGTTTTCCTCCATGTGGGTGCTGACTGAGCTTGGGGAATTCCATGTACATGGAAGAGTTCTTGTTGTTAATGTTGTTGCTCATTTTAGCACTCATGGAAGAAAGTTGGAGAGAAAAAAAACCCCAAAAAACAGCCAATTGTTTTCTTACTAACTTCAGGAAGCTGCAGCTTGAGTTGCAGAAATTGAAGATGGAGGAAGTTTATTTGGTAACTTGGTCTCCCCATGCTCTCTGCTAGACGTTTTCTGGTATGTTGTGCAGACCTGAATAAGTGTCCCAGTTTCCTTTTGGGGAAGACAATTCTTCATTCTTCCCTAGCATCTAGACTCAGTTCTTACTACTTTTGACTCCATCTTGTTACTCTGAGTTACTGCCCACAGGCACTACACACACAGATGGAGAGCAATTATTCAAGCAGATCTTAAAATTTTGTCGCATTTATGATAAGTCGTCTTAGGCACAAGCCAGATGATGTACTTTAGGCTTTTAATCTTTCTTCAGAGTCAGCCACCATAGCCGCTCCATCATGACTGTGGTGCTCTGATCTCTCTCTGCGTTGCAGTGCTGGAAATGAAGATCCACTTGCGCCAAGCAGGGACTATTGCATGCTCCCCTGGGTGGAGAAGGGAGAATATTCTCTGAAGGAAACTGGAGCACAGCAGGGTCATGTAGCTCAGTTTCCAAAGGGTTATCTGCAAGGTGCTGTGCTTCCCCATGCCTAGAAACTCCCTTGCAAGTGCTCCCAAACGTCACATTTCTGCTGATGAGCAGCATTTCCCTAAAGAGTGAATGTGGTGTGAGGCTAAAAGCCATTTCAGTG